CACTGTGATTAACTTACCATAAAACACAAATGTATGTTGTGATTCTGTCTACATTCCCCTGGCTGTAATGCCCTTACATTGTTTCTGATTCTTGATATTTTTACTTAAGAAAATAGGAATTTCAAAGGCTAATGCTGGTATAAATTTGCAGATATCTTGTCTATTGGCCTGCTTCAGTATCTTTCATTTCTTTGGCATAGAGCGGAGCCACGGGAGTGTTTATTTGATGAAATTGACTCCAATTAAGACTACGAATTTGCCTTTCATCCTGGTCTCCTTAATACTGGTGTTTGCGATTATGCTGTTGCGCGGAGGCCTACATAAGTGATTGCTTGTTTAGTTTCCACCGTGAATTGAATATTCGTATCGGCCGATTTAACTATTTCCTTGCTCTATGTATCTTATTTTGGCAACGGGGAAAATGTTATCGGCGTAACATGTCCAGAAGTTGGGTTGATGTTAGATTAATATCCGGTAAAGAAACAATCTTTGGCAGTCAGGCCTGACTTGATATAGCCCAGAAAAAGTAACCCTTACTTTACACGTGGATTTGCCCACTACATTTGACAAAAAGGGTAGTAAATGTACGTCAGAGAACTTCCGTCAGGGCTTGAAAGAGTTGACGCTGATCCACTAGCATTTTACCAGGACTTGATTAACCCTTTCTATCGCTTGGTGTTATGAAATGGAGGCAAAGAATAAAATGACATCAAAAGATATCAGGAATTTATCTGGCTTTAATTTCAAAAGTTTGGTAGGGGCTGTTGCTCTTAGTGAGCTTCTAACCATAAGTGTGAGACCGCCAAGCATCAATTTCGCAAAATGCGATGTCAGAAAGCCGCTTAGGGATGAAATGGGACAGGCGGGGGGGGTGCGTTTGCTCACTGTTTTTCTGGGAAACTGCAAAAAGAAGTAGTTGCGGAGTCAGAGGGTTTTATGAATGGACCCATCTGACGATTTATAGATGCCTGCATTCTCGCGCCTCATTCTTTACTGCTCTCCAGTTATTTTTCCAGCTTAACCTAAAAAACTGGTCATTTTTAAACACATCCTCTGAATGCTCTCTTCAGCTGCCGGTGTTTCCTATGTTTTAAGCTGACATTATAATACAGTGACACATTAAAACGGTCAAGCAATTTGCTAATCGCATCCTTAGTGAGTTCACCCATCCTCTCCACTCTGTACTAATGGCTGTGAAATCTTCCCGTACTATGCACCGAAGCATTCGTCATATGCCTTGCCGTACATCGGCATATCAGCACTCTATACTCCCATTCCTAGCACACTACTTCACGTGTGACGAAACGTAAATTCAGAAGTTGAAAGCCGACCGGTCTCCATAACAGATGTGGATAGCGTGTGAACTCCTAATAACCTTATCCCTTGCTCTCCGTGAATGGATCCATTTTTGCTGAAAATTTTGGATATTTATCTTCGAAATAAAACATATTTCGCTGTCATCACTGACTGCGACCACACTTGCGGACCTGAGAAATGCAAAGCCCGTAGACAAATTTATTTTCACATATTTTTTGACTTGTAGGGGGTTTCGGTAGATATGAATAATTCACTCGATCTACATGTAAGAAAGTTGGCGTTCTCGTTGGGATTCGAACCCACGGCATCGAAAGCTTTACCCAACCAAGCTACGAGGTCTCCAACCGGAATAGTGATGTTAATCCCAATTGGGTCGATTCGTCAGTTGGCTAGAGCGTTCGTTGTACTGAATCCTTCCCCTCGCTTGGGTTCGAATCCCGCCGAGGCCGACCAATTTTTCGCATGTGGGCCAAGTAAATTTTTCTTAAATATCAGCTCCCATGAGGCAATCAACTGTAAGGATTTTTTCTTGAGTCGTCAGTTGAAGGCCATAAAAGGAACCCTTGAAGTTAAACCAGCACGGCAGCACCAACATGGTCGTTACTATTTGTTTGTAGCAGTCCGATATGTTAACTCATACTCAGGAACTATCGATCAGAAGCACTTGCATAGTTGAAACACAGTAAAATATTAGACTCTTCAGTTAATTATTGGCCGCAGTATGGCGCTTATATTATCTGTATATTATCTTTTACCTTCCTTAATATTTCTGGTAATTAGAAGGCAGGCATCTCAAGCGATGTAATTTAAAGGAAGGAAGGACGTTCTTCGGGAAACAAGGTAAGTTTATTCGGTAAATTTTCGACGCTGGATCCCCAGGTAGTCGTCAGACTTTAAAAGATGTGCAACGAACAAGTAAATTTTCAAACGTGTGAGCGCTAACAGGCAGCTATCATTTGCGTCACGCTGTATCGATTGAATCTCGTCTATCTTCCTTTTAAATGTTTGTACATTCTATCCAACTCGATATATCCGTAAATGCATGAATCATCGGAGCGCGGAGCCTCAAGAAATCATCCGCACTTTAAGAGAAGCAAACTCCGACGATGCGTGTTTTTTCCCATGCGAAGGTGTGTCCCATATCAAGGCTATGAATAGCCACGTCGGATAAATGTTCACGTTTCTTCACTGTCAGTTGGTGCTCATGGATGTGTGGTGAGACGGACTTTCTTTTTTGCTAACAATATACAGTATCACAAGCTTCACACGGGTTCCTTTAA